GAACGTTTGAGAAAAGGGAAGGAAAAGGATAAGCCATGATGGTTTTTGTTTGATTGTTTTTAAGGCGATAATGATGTGATTATCTGAGTTTTTAGACAGAGATTATATAGAGTTCATTCGTTGATTGTTTTTTTTTGGTTCATGTCTCTAATTAATTTCATTGAAAAGTCATAACCTTCCGATTAAAGAATCTCTGCATCGCTTAGTGATAAGTCATGACCCATTTGGTCATACCGTATCCATAATATTCTTTTTTCGTCCCATTTTCCTTATTTTTCTTCTCTTTGCATTTAATTTTAATGAATTTAATGATTGACTAGTTGATTCTTTTAAAGAATTTGTAAATTGTATTAGTGTGGTTACTATGTTATAATTTGACTATCTGTTAATGAGTTGTAAACGATAAAAAAAAAATTTTAGAATGCTATAAAAAGTTTTCCAATTTTTTTTTTTTAAATCACCAGTCTGGAAAGCAATATTCTTTTCAAATATTTTTGTAATTTTACTAAATTTAATAAAAATCTATAAACTATTTTGATAGAATATCATACGATTTATCTTTTCACAATCGCTAAACTTTCAATTTATTTTACTAAAATAATAATGACATTATTTAGTTACTTGGTCACTTGCCTAAATATATATGAAATTATTTAGTTACATAAAACATAGTTCATTTATATTTCAAACTGCTTACATACGTTTATGACATTTTATATGCCATACCGAATTTCTACATTCGTATACTCGGTCATTTGCCTAAATAATTTATGATAATTTATTTATATATATAGAATTATTTTAGTTACGTAATACATAGTTTATTTATATTTTTAACAGCTTACATACGTTTATGGCATTTTATATGTCATACCGAATTTCTAAATTCGTATGCTCGGTCACTTGCCTAAATAATTGACGATCGTTTATTTATATATATGTAATTATTTTAGATACGTAAAACATAGTTTATTTATATTTCAAACTGCTTACATACATTTATGGCATTTTATATGCCATACCGAATTTCTAAATTCGTATACTCGGTCACTTGCCTAAATAATTTATGATAATTTATTTATATATATAGAATTATTTTAGTTACGTAATACATAGTTTATTTATATTTAAACAGTTTACATACATTTTATATGTCATACAGAATTTCTAAATTTGTATACTCGGTCGCTTGCCTAAATAATATACTATCGTTTATTTATATATATGAAATTATTTTAGCTACGTAAAACATAGTTTATTTATATTTCAAACTGCTCACATACGTTTATGGCATTTTATATGCCATACCGAATTTCTAAATTCGTATACTCGGTCACTTACCTAAATAATTTACGAAA